TTAGAGATCGGTCTGATTCATGGAAATTTGATCCTTAAAGTCACAATGATTATCATCATGTAATGGTAGTTCACTGGTAGTTCCTTTTTGTCACAAGGTGAAAAGGAGAATTACTCAACAAGATATCTTGGTTCAACATAACCATAGAATCATAGGATGGTTTGAGTTGGAAGGGACCTTATAGATCATCTAGTTCCAAACCCCTGCCATGGGCAGGGACATCTTCTGCTAAACCAGGTTGCTCAAAGCCCCATCCACCTCCAGTCTAAATATCCCCTTTTTTGGTTTAAAACCATTACCCCTTGTCCTATCGCAGCAGGCCCTGATAAAAAGTTTGTCCCCATCTTTCTTATAATCCCCTCTTTAAGTACTGAAAGGCCACTATAAGGTCTCCCCACAGCCTTCTATTCTGCAGGCTGAACAGCCCCAACACTCTCAGCCTTTCCTCAGAGCAGAGGTGTTCAGCCTCCGGATCATCTTTGTGGCCTCCCGTGGCCCTGCTCCAACAGCTCCATGTCTGTCCTGCGCTGAGGGCTCCAGAGCTGCATGCAAGACTCGAGGTGAGGTCTCACCAGAGCAGAGGAGAGTGGCAGAATCCCCTCCCTCGACCTGCTTGCTGGCCACGCTGCTTTTGATACAGTCCAGGGTACAGTTGGCTTTTTGGGTTGTGAGTGCACATTACTGGCTCCAATTTTTCATCCACCAGTAGCTGCAAGTCCTTCTTGGCAGGGCTGCTCTCAATCCCTTCATCCCCCAGCCTGTACTGATACCGGGGGTTGCCCCAGCCCAGGTGTAGGACCCTGCACTTGGCCTTGTTGAACCTCATGAGGTACACACAGGCCCACTTCTGGAGCTTGTCCGGGTCCCTCTGGATGGCATCCCTTCCCTCAGGTGTGTTGACAACACCACTCAGCTTGGTGTCATCTGCAAACTTGCTGAGGGTGCACTCGATCCCGCTGTCTATGTTGTTGTTGAAAATACTGAAACAGCACTGGTCCCAATACAGACCCCAAGGGACACCACTTGTCACCGATCTCTATCTGGGCATTGAGTGATTGACCTCTACCCTCTGGATACGACCATCCAAC